CGAGCCAAACTTGAACAAATCCAAAACAAGTCAAGTCCGAGCCGAGTTCGAGTATTTGCATATAAATGAGTCAAGCCTATCGAACTTGAGCCGAATTTGTTAGACTTGTTTTTTAAACGAACTTAAAAACTTATTCAAACTCGGGCTTGTTCAGAAAACAAATCGAGTCTTAATGAATCGAACTCAAACCAAGTTCGAGAAGTTCAATTTGATTAACAACCTTAAATACCAGTCTTATATCCATCGTATTTTCTTCTTCCTAAATACCAGTCTTATATCCTTCTTATTTTCTTCTTTAGGACAGGACAAGGCGGTGTATATTTAACTCTTTTTTGGTTCAACAGTTAAAAGTGTCTAGATTAGTTTACACACATCTTGACTAATCCTCTTTTTAATTCGGTTAAATGCATGTCATTCACATCTGAACAAATGTATTCATGAGAGATTTAAGGAATTGCCAAAATTTAAATTCAGGATGTTTGAATTTATAATTCATTCCTCTTACCACTTAAACTACCCTTAGAGGTTGTATATTTAACTTATTTATTGATGAGTTTATCAATTTCTAGTTTGCCATAACTGTCAACGAAAAGCCAAATCCAGATTTCCTCCATTATTCCTTCCCTTCAATTCCCTCAAAAACAATATTAGATGAGTGACATGTGTAAAATTTTAAATTTTAATAGTCAAAATTTTTTGCCAAAGAAAAAATTCCTTGATTATGGTTAACACTCCACCAACAACAAAATGAATTAGGAAACATTTTATCTATTGAAATTTAAATTTTATATATGTCACACATATAACACTGTATTAAAAAGAATTGAAAGAAAGAGGTAATGAAGAGAATCTAAATCCCGAAAAGTCTGCCCTCTATTTAAGAGAATAAAGATTTAAGTCTGAGTTTTTATTTAATTAACCAAATTTTTTTTTTAGAGAAGTCATATTTTATAATTTTTTGAAATAAAAGTTGATGATGGTTAAAAAGTTCACCAAGCTCCAGACATTGTTAAGAGCTGAATCCGTCCTCATGGTACATGCAAAGACAAGTCGGAGACCGGAAGGGGCTCCAAGGATCAACCCTCTGATTATAAAGTCTAGAAAAAAATGGTTGAGTAATGAGAGAGCTTGTGTTGGCGTTTGATTCACTTAGCAGTTACCTCCATTCCCTTCAGGGGTTCCCTTCTCATAGGCCATTTGGTTTGCCGTTAACAGATTTTACTCCGCCTATTTGAACTGAGTCAGTAGTGTCCCACTTGCTTAACCCAGACTGCTGACTAAATAGAAGTGTTACTTGAATTGAACTATCCAAAGTTTTTATAGGCTAGGACTCTACCAACTTTCAAAGACTGAGGGATTGTTAGCTACTGGTTCGATTTATTGAGCTGGGTATTCTAAGCACGTGTCTTTGCCCTTTTTTTCAAAAGTTATAATTACAAAAAGATATGATCGATTCTATTATATTATGATCAATTATACATGCTATAATTAATTAAGGGGTATTCACAGCGTGGATTTGCAGTGGGGGCAGCTTCCTCCACTCGAATTTGAAAACATATTGGGGTGTAGTTGAAATTTTGGAATTTGTTAAAAATTGCCCCCACTGAAAAACTTTTAAATTTTAGGATAGTAATGTATATTTTCAAACATGTGGGGTTCTTTTAAACGTTAGGAAAAGTAAAAAAATTTCTTCATCAGGGCACAGTTCCTATTTCCTTTGTTCCGGCCAAAACTCTGTCTCCTTTGTGATCTCTCTCTATTCGACGTCCATGGATCCTTATGCTCTCTCTCTGTTCTAACTCTACACTGAAAATTTGTTCTTCTTAGTTTTTTACTCCCTCTTTAGTGGTACCTCTCTATTTTTTCACTTCAATTGTTTTTATCAAAATTTATTGAGAAAATAGTTTCAAACGATAAGAGGTTAAAAGATTCTTTCACTATTGACTTGTCGGAAGGTAAATCATGAACGTTATCTTTGAATTCAATCATTATTATATGTTTTAATTTTTGGGCTAGTGATTAGGGTTTTCAAATAATTTGATTTTTATATTTGAAATTTATGTGTTATAATTATTTTTTTGATTAAATCATTTCGATTGATTAGGCTCGAGTAAATTTGATTGTAATGAATTAAGTTATTCCTATATCTAAGATTGATTTAGTTAAAAAAATTTGACCCTAGATTGATTTAATTAACTTATGGTAGATTAAATTTTTCTAAATTGTTTTGATGTATTTTGCATGAATAATGCATACTAAGTTGTGTCTGACCAAAGAAATTAAATTTGTAATCAACTATTGATAAAAAGTTTTTGCCAGACCGAATTTTTTTTTTTTTAATATTTCTCATTTATGAAGGTTGTGCCTTTATTGACATTTTTTTAATGAATCAATGTTTTAGTGAAAATAGTGTCAAGTGAAATAATTATATACTAAAAGAGTTGTCTGACTCCGCCCTGAGTGTTCATGATGCCACTCGATTCTAAAAGATGTCTCTGCCAAATTGCCTTGGATCCTTAAACAAGATGTACGACTTTTATTTAAGCAGCCCACACCACAATATTTCTGTCAAACTAATTTAAATCTCCTAACAAAAGAAATTAGTTTAAAAAGGATTAATTACAAAAAAAAATTATCTTGTTCTTTTGTTTGATGGTTATAGAAAATTTTAAAAATATTGAAATTTACAACCATGATAATATACACCCCAAATAATTTTTTTTTAGTCTATCACGTATGAATTTATAAATTATATTAAAGATAACTCGTACTTTCAGGCACGGTGAAATGTGAATAATTTTGAAATAAGGTGATGACTGTTGAATGAGTATATTTAAAACTGTCAAATAGACTTATTTAAATCTAATATGTTTTATCTAAAACTAAAGGTAACTCATTCCTGAAATCACAGTGCAATGTGGTATAAAATAAGACATGTTTCAATAAATTTATTCAACAGACTTAAATAGATTAATCAAACGACTATCAATATTTCTCTTAAAATTATTTATATTAAATTTTTTCTCTTTCTAAAATTCATTACTTCTCAAACAAATTAATTCAATAACTATCGATATCTCTCGCGTCTCCGTTATGCTCCTCGTTACGTAGAATATTTGTATGTGGGCAGGTAATGTCTCCCACACACTTTGCTTTGAAAACGGTGGGAACTGTTTCAAAACACCAATGACGTCACAATATGGGCCCCAACATCTCCTGAACACTGTACGGCAAAGCAAGACGTCCATCCCAATCCCATACCCCACCACCACTCCTTCACGCCGAAGCTAACCCCCTCCACCTCCTCCTCTGCCTGCCCCCACTAACTTTTTCTTTAACAACTTTCTACTTTAATAATTTAATTACTTTTGTTATTTTACAAAAAAAAAAATTAATTAATTAATTAATACATTTTGAAGTAGGTATCAGTAAGTTTTGCATGGTAAACACTTCAATTTTTACTTAAATTAAAAAAATTCAAATCTTAAATAATTAAATTTATTTTTTTTAAAGAATTTAATGATCATATTTTACTCTATTTAACAGTACTAACTGATTTTATTTGACTTAAATTTGAATGGACTTGACTATGATATCGATATATAAAATTTCGGCATCATATCAAAATTTATTATATTTCTAAGTATGTTTATTATGATTATAAATAATTTTATCACTGGTGTGATGTTTAAAAAAGTTATAATAATAATTACCACAACAGTAATAAAAATATTTTGAATAATCAAAAAAAGACCCATAAAAATAATAATTTTTTTGTATCGAAGAAAAATGATACAAATATTTATAAAAATAATAAATAAACCACAAAAAAATAACCTACAAAAATTATATAAATATTTTTTAAAATAATAAATTTTAAAGGTATTATATCAAAACTTTTTTAACCATACCCTAATCACCAAAAGCACATAAACACTATACAAGTCAATACATATGAGCAACATGCTTGCCGGTTATGATTTCTTATCAATCTACTCAAATCATTCATGAATTACCTATTCTACACATTAATTAGGTTGTTTCGACATTCTTTTGTACACGTCACTTTCTTCATGTTTACACTATCTATAGTTTAACCACCCAATGGGATGATTTATCAAAATAATGACCGAACTTTTCATCTAAAAATTGAAAGGACAAGTTTTAGAATTTACATTAAACTTTGGTGATCGTCTATTATAATAATCTAGTTAGATTCCCTTTACTCCAATTTGAGTTCAAGCTTAATTGAAAAACTTGACTTAATTTATCTGCACCTTAATCTTTTTTAAAAATTTCCATCTTAATGCTAAATGCTCTTATATTTCATTCTTCCCTCTCAAATTTTTGAAATTGAAAACAATAATAAGACGAAGGCCATGCTCGAAATAAAGACAAAGGTCCCAATAGTTCGAGCAGCTGCAACATATTTAAGTTTAAAAAGAGGTAAAAGTTGAAGATGTTCTCATCCGACTTTAATAGAGATAAACAGTCATTTTGAACAAACCAATCATACTACGAGACTATTAAAGTAAACAAAAAAAAAATATCCCTTCTTATTACAAACTTAGTAACTATGGAATATTACATGAAGAGGATTGTGGATTTCTCTTCACCATAGGCAGGCAAAACCATATGCCATTATCCTACACAACCAAGCCCCAACTAAGACAGTACCCTCTCTTACACCCTACTACCCCACTTATTTTATCAACCATCCCAAAAGCACACCTCCCCACACTAACTACTTTCAACTAATAATACTATTTCCTTCAATTTGCATCAAAAGGTAGGCCACAAGAGATGGAATCTACACCTCAAAAAGACCTGCATACTTATTTTTTCTTCAGCTAAACGCCTTGTACTTCAAATTTAATTTCTTTGCCTAAAAAACCATTACCATTCTCCTATCACTACTTGTCTACCTTCTATCTTGCTTGCTATCTCCCGACAAAACAACATATCAGGAGATGCAAATCACACTAAAAAACTAGCCATTTTCAATAGGTCCATTCTTGAGGTAGCCGTATTTCATGATTCATTGCTCCTTCCAGCCGTATACTTCGCCTCTGTGGTTCCACTACTGCGGTTCTCCGAGCCATCAACAAATCTGCAAATTGATCTACAAATCTCAGAACCAAGAACTTAAAACATATGAAAAACTTGCTAAAATGGGACTTTATATGACAAGTAAGTTACCATAGTCGGGGATGGAGGCGCTATTGAAGCGGGGATGAGATTGATGATGTTGGGTATGAACAGTCATGTCGTCGAAGTTCTTGTTCAGAGCCTGAACAACTCCAGCTGGAAGTAGAGCAGTTGAACAACCTGGTCATATATATACCCACAAGTGTAGGCAACTGAGCATGTCAAAGATCTAAATCAGACACCCACTTTATGCATATGCAATTCAAAGAAGATGGTTTCTAATTCCAGCATAAGATTTAAAAAGCAAAGCCAGATATGCTGTGTCCCCAGCTTCATCTAGGAAAGAAGATTTTTAAGCCAAAAACAGGGTTTTCTGCGAAAAAGGAAAAGAAAAAGAGCAGGATTGCAGTGGATTTGTGAACTGGATTAGCCCACTTGGTCAAAAGAAAAAAGCGTCGCTGCAAATTGAGGACATCCCATCAGAATATAAGAGTCTGTTTGGCTCTCGGGAAAAATTAAGATCAGAAAAGCAAAGTAAATCGAACTCGTATTTGAGTATAAATCTGGGACCCAGGACGAAACACACGCCACCAGGTCCACCACTGAACTGGACTAATGACGTTGGTTGAGGAGTCTTCAGTGTGAAGCAAAAACAGCAATAATCATAAAATGGGTAAAGAATTCAAGAACCATTTCCTCTGTCTCTCTCTCTGGTTTCTCAAATACATAGGTGAGTGAACTCAGAACGGACAAACAAAGAAGATAAAAAGACAAAAACAAAGCCAGAAAAATTCATAAGAATATGGAAATGGAAGAGTCCACACAGCTTTCAAAATTCAAAAAATACCTGGCTTCTTTCGAGGGGTCTCAGAAGGATTCCCATATCTGCGAGGCAGAAACACACCAGTGCCAGCGCACACCCTTTTTCCACCGCCACCGCTACCACCGCCACCAGATCCACCAAAAAAAACCGTTTTCATCCCTGACCCACTATTCTGTAGTGGTTGGATTTGGTGTTGAAATTGCGAAGGAGGCCATGGAGATTGAACCGACCCCAGTGGCTTTCCACACCTCCCACTTTGGACAAATCCGCCTCCACCACCAAAACCGATCCTCGAGCCTCTGTTTTGAGAGAGTTGATTCTGCGAGAACCACTCTTCTTTTGGCCCTCTACCCAAAACAGCAGAGCCCTGTAGCTTCAACAGTTGGTCCTGGCTCACTTGCTGAACATTGCAAAAACACCCTCAAATAAATCAAAAACTGCAATAGATTAGTAGTTTCAAACAATTCAAACATGGTGAAAAATTTCTTACATGGTTGGCCTGTGCGAGAGCATGATATAGACACTGGTTATTAAATAACCCAGAGTTGGGGGGTTTCACAAGCGGTGAAGGGTGGACCAGAGTAAGAGAACTCGGTGGGTTTAGGAGGCCTCTGCCTTTGGTAGACCCATCGGAGTTCATCTTTAACCTTGAGACTTGCCCAGCAGCTTGGAATATGAGATCCCAAGCGTCGTTGTTCGCACCCAATGGCGTCGTTGGAGGAGAGGACCCCTTAGAAGGTCCGTCAGGGCTTCCATTGCTGGACCAACATCCAAGTCCACTCAGTGTCGATTGAGGAGAACCAGACAAGACCCAACTCTTCTGAGTCAAAACAAGAACCAAATCAGTACTTATTTTCATAAAATTAACAGTTCAGAAACCAAGAAATCAGAAAAAATACCTCGAGATTTTGAGTTCTTGAAGTGATTTCACGAACATCCCGGAGGGTCGAGCGAGCTAACTGGCGAGTCAACACAGTGAACAAGTCTTCCTCGTCGCTAAGTGTCTCGGGTGAGCTTACCACGGACTCAACAGGCGAGGTACGAACAGAGGACGAACCAAAGGAGCCTGCATAGCCCAAATCGTACGGAAACTCACTAGGGAAGAAGGGATTCCAGCTTAGATCAGTGTTGAGGCCATTTTTGGCGAAGTTTTCTTTGTCCATGAGTAGGTCATGGTCTGTAAGGAAATCAGGGGGAAGCCAAAACCCTGCGCCGTCTAGAGTATCAGCCATCTCAGAAAATGACCCAGAAAGAGGATAATAAAAATCCGAGAGAGAGAGAGAGACCCCGATGTGGAGTTGGGTTTGATGGTGTTTGTTGCTAGTGGGGAGGAAGATTTAATGTGT